TGTGAGCTATCTAAGAGCAATCGTCATGGTTTAACCTTATTTTCTTGATTTACGATGTCGACAATTACTGTAGACAATAACATATTCGAAGAACAATTACTACGGGGTAGATAATTTAAACTCGTTGTAGACATACACTACCGTCCGAAATTGTGCGAACTCTGCTTTTTCAACAACTATAAAACTGTTCATATCTTCAAAAATATTAAAACTAAAATTTTTTCCTCTTTATTTTATTAAAGTTAATAAAATTCTGAAAGAAATGACACCTTGACAAAAAGAATATGTTAATTTTTCAATTAGATATCTAAGAAAAACCCAATTTTCAATGTTTTTACTATTTTTTTTATTTCTCTTGAAAAAATTAATATTTTTAAACGTTCTTAGGCTCATTGAAATTGTATTTTGTTATGCAATTCAAATTATATAAAACAATTTATGTACACATTCTTCCCTAGCGTATGCAAACCGTGAAAGTTGGCTCATAAAATGTCAAAAAATTGAAATTTAATTCTACAATAAAATATAATGTTTAAAAATCAAGTAAATATATCATTCTAAACTTCTCTGATTTATGTAAGTAAGTTTGAAATTTATACATTTTACTGATCAATTTTTGTCATATAAACATTAATCACAATTTTTTGACATTTTATGAGCCAACTTTCACGGTTTGCATACGCTAGGGAAGAATGTGTACATGAATTGTTTTATATAATTTGAATTGCATAACAAAATACGATTTCAATGAGCCTAAGAACGTTTAAAAATATTAATTTTTGACAGAGAAATAAAAAAAATAGTAAAAACATTGAAAATTGGGTTTTTCTTAGATATCTAATTGAAAAATTAACATATTCTCTTTGTCAAGGTGTCATTTCTTTCAGAATTTTATTAGCTTTAATAAAATAAAGAGGAAAAAATTTCAGTTTTAATATTTTTGAAGATTTGAACAGTTTTATAGTTGTTGAAAAAGCAGAGTTCGCACAATTTCGGACGGTAGTGTAGAAGGACTAGAGTTACTTTCATTAGCCGCTTTGCTTTCAAAATGGAGAAGGATATTGTGTTTCCCTTGACATTTCTTACAAGCTTCTTTCGTACATTTACTAGTACGATGGGATGCTTGTAAGCAATTGACACACAAATTTTCCTTTTTAACAAATTTAAATCAATCAGACGGAGAGAGGTGTAAAAATGACTCACAGGAGGAGAGATCATGTTCACCTTTGCAATTCGGGCACATTGTAGGCGTAGTAGTTGCCAAAAACAATTTTTGATGTGACCGATTATTATGGTTATTAGGACGAGAATGAGATTGCGTCCTTTTCTCTTGAGACGTTCTAGATTTGTTACGAATTTGTGCCGATTTGGTAGCATCTTATTGAGCTCGTTTTTGAAGGAATGATATAAGATCATCCCATCCCGGACAATTTATTTCACATGCAAATTCGTCCCATTTTTCCGTAGTATTTGAATCCATTTTATTTCTAATTAAAACAATTAAAAGACTCCCCCACTGATCAATGGGTTCATCGAGAACCTTTAATGCACGAATAGGTTTCTGTACATGATTAAGAAGTTCGCGCAATGAAAATTCTTTTGACATGCCTGGAATATTTAACAAATCTTGAATATGATTTTGTTTTATTAATTTACGATTATCATAAGTTTCTTTTAGACTTTCCCAAGCTACCAAATAATTTTCCCCGGATAATTGAACCGACGCGATAACTTCCGCGGCTTCTCCGGTTAAACAAATTTTCAGATATCTTAGTTTTAGAATCGGAGCTAATTTTGAGTTCGTGTGAAGCATGGAATAAAACACGTCATAAAAACCTAACCACGAATCATAATTGCCGTTAAATGAAGGCGATCCTAGTGATGGCATTTTAAAATCATCTGACGCTTCATTTATGGAAGGATTTAAATTGAGTGGATTGTTGTGAAAATTTGTAATTTGAATATGAGTTTCAGAATGTGCCAAAGTAGTTGACGGTTGCGAAACTTCTGCATTAACGGGTGTTAATATATTAAATATTCGATCATAAATTGAAAAATATCTATTTTCATAATCATTTCTCGCATCTTCATCGATCCCGTCATCGTTTAAAGTTCCCGATCCGCACCTTTCAATTATCGTTTGCCATTTATCAAACTCGCGTAAATTTTCTTCTAAATCTTTACTTTGTCTGACAAGTGAAAGATATTTCGCGAGAGTATAATTCTCAAGAAATTTTTCTAAATTTGTTAATTTACGTTTAAGATTTCCGCGCTCCTTTTTGCGGTTGCAAGTTCAACCTCCTTTGTAACTGAATTGTCACCACCCGAATTATTATCGTCAGTCTCAGTCATCGTGAGTATTAAGGGGGGCGCCTACTTTATCGGGTCAAAAAAATCGATTTTTTAAAAGTTGTCTTAACTGAAAGTACAACTATCAGAGAATATGCTCTTAAAATATTACGTCAACATACAAAGTATTTTTCGAGTTACAGCTTGTAGAACGCAATAAAGCGCGTGGCCTGGCGCGCGACTCCACTCGCGGTCTCTAATACTTTTCATAATTTGTTGCGCTTATCTACTATTACACCTATCATTAAAATTACCATTTATCAGTAAAATGTCGTCTTATCCAAGATCTACCCATAAAAAAATAGTCGTTCATCGAGGCCTGTGACTGCCGTAAGTTTTTAATAAACAGTTTTTCAATCTTTAAACTCGTTTTTCTCAAAACATTGTTTTTGTAGTTTGCGTACACGATAGACAAAAATCTATTCAACCGATTAAGGTCTACCTGGGCTTGTTTTAAAGATAAAAAGTATCTCTTCTGTATGAACTAAATTTGTTTTTGATAGAGTTAAATTTAGTGCTTTCTTTTATAGAAAAAATGAGATTTTTTTGGCGAAAATTAAATTTTTTTTAAAAAAGTCATGTAAAAATGTCAGTTTTTACTTTCGATTGAAATCTTTTAATTCATACAGAAGGCAATAATGTATATTTAAAGAAAAAATTTTGTTTTTTTGTTTTAGATAAGAATTGTCGACCCTAGGTTGTACGCAATGGGAAAATTTTAGCAGCGAGGCGTTATATATATGACGTTTATTTTATTATTAAATTCTATTTTCATTTAATCAAAAAATTATATTTCAAAGATTTAAATATATAAGAAAACATACACTAAATCTCGCATCGATTTATTTAAATGGGTTTGAGAAAAAAATTCCTGAAATGTACGCAGTTTTTTACCTTCTAAAGTAGGCGCCCCCCTTAATAGAAATTAAGCGAAGGAGACAATTTGGAATATAATATGATTGATTGACGAATTAACTTGCCTACTCATCGCTGATAACACGTTAAACTGCTTGGCTGATGACTGTGGTGTAGAGAGGAACGCAGCTAATTCTTTTTTTTAATCCAATGTTGATTTCGATGATGGAAACAGGGCACTTTAGAGAAAACACTTAAACGAGTCTCAATTCACTTGAACTTTGAATAGAGGTTATAAGTCTTGTAAAATACACTTAAAGTTCAAAGTCTAGAAATTCACAACACATCATTTCAACTTCAACAAGTTTCGTAAAAACGATTGCGTGTCATTGAATTTACGGATTCACTATATATAACAGTAGTGAAAAAAGCTTGAAAATCGTTACACAATAAAAAATTCGTTTAATACACTTCTAGTAGAAAATACAAATTTTTTCTTTTTGGAACTTAAAGAGGAGACTGCCATGTACACTACATTTAAGTTTCATCACAATCAGAGGTGTAGAAGACATAAATAATGTAAATTGTTTATAAAATTGTTATTAAAAATATCGAATTTTTAGGTTTACAATTTTGCAATTATATTTATTGAAAAGAGAGTAATTTTTTATATAATCAGTATAAGTTTCATTAATTTATTGCAAACAATTGTTGAGTTATTAATTTTTCTTTAACATGTTGTAAAATTTTGTTTATGCAAAAAAAACTAACAAAAGTTAAAAATTTTTAAAAACGGTTAAAAGTGTTTCTTTGTTTTATTATAAACTACAGATTTTCATAAAAGTTTTAACATTTTAGAAAATCAATGAAAATTTGTTGACACGGTTGACCTGGAGTTACTCAGATGTAATGGGACTATAAGTGCTAAAAATATTATATTATTTAGTCCACGAATCACGTCAGCTGGTCATTATTTTAATGCCTGCATTACGCTCGTTGTTTAATTTTCGAAATAAGTTAAGTTCTAAATGAAAATAAAAAAAAATTGAAATTGAAATTTTATAGAAAAATGCAATTTTATTTTTGATTTTCATTTTTCAAGGACAAAAATTATTTATTTTTTAAAATTGTTTTCACTACTAAAAAGTGCGTAAAAAGAGCTACAAAATTCATATATTGCAAACATTTTTCGTTTTGTTTTATAGGAACTATACATTTTTTAAATATGCAATGCCAGAAAAAAAGTCCAAACTTTGGAAAACTTTTCGAAAACATATAGAACAAAATTTTTTTCATCAATTTATATAAAAGTTACGATTTTTTAAAAAATCCACTGTTCACATTTGACTAGAAACTTGAACCCCCTCTACAGTTTTGCATAAAACTTAATAATAATTTATGGGAGTAGTACTCACCCATAGTACTGAAGTACTATAGTACCCATAGTACCAAATTTCAGCCTGATCCGAAAACCTTCTATTTTAAAGTCTAGGACAATTTTGCAAATGACCTCATAATTTTTTTTGATTCAATTATTTTACAAAAATTCCTTTTGCATCATAAAGTAGGGGACTAAAGTTGAGTTTCTACATGTTGTAAATATTTTTCAAGCTCGTTAGTTTTGCTTGTTAAACAAGTAAAAAAAATAAGTTTGTTACAAAACGAAAAAAATTATTGCAGCGTTTTTGTCACATAGTGCTTACAAAAGGTTAAATAATATTTGTCGGATCAGTGTTTGCTCAAAAACATCCTTATAAATGATAATTAAACATAATTTGCATTTATTTTGTTTACAGTATTCCTTCAGGAATCCAAGGTCCGGAACATCCTAATCCAGGTGAAATGTATTACGCAGTAGGATTTCCAAGGGTTTGTTATCTTCCAGACAATGAATTGGGACGTAAAGTTTTAAGACTGCTTCAAGTTGCATTCGATCGAAGACTGATTTTCACGATCGGACGATCCGTGACAACAGGTCGAGAAGACGTTGTTACATGGAATAAAATTCATCACAAGACAGAGTTAGGACCCTCTATCTCGAGATACGGGTATCCAGACAAAAATTATTTAGAGCGTACTATCTCAGAATTAGCCGCTCAAGGTGTAACCGACTTTCAACCATATTCCACTCTTTATCAGGAACTTCATTAATTTGTTATCATGCGAACGCAAAGAATTTTATAGAATTGCAGTACAAATTATTATATTTTTTTATCTAAAGAACTTTCAATAAAAGTTTAGGAGAGTTTAATTTTGTTTTCAGGATTATAAGAAAAGTCTTCCAATGATTCTTTTTGAAAATTATGCAATAAGTGTAAACACAATTATATTGTGTGATATATTGTTTGAGTCAACATAAAAACAGAAATATTAGTATTTAATCCTTGTTCGACAGTATAAACTTACTACATTTGTAAGCGGCATAAGTACAATTGTACTTACTTTTAACTTTTGTTATGATAATATAAAAAAATTAATTTTTATGTTTGTTTTATCATATATTTTATTTTATACTTTAATACTATATTGCAAATGTGATAACCAATTATTTTACTAATTGTTTAAAAAATAATAATTCTATTATACTATTAAGTATTTGTTATTATTATATTATTTTATACTTATGATAATTAATTATAATTTCTCTTATTGATTAAAAAAAAGAAAAAATATATTAACAATTTACATGCAAACATATAAAGATGCAATTGTACTTAAAACGTTTAGAAATGTAATAAGATATACTTTAATTCACATCTCAAAAATAGGTAACGATATTTTTATTAAATTTTTTTACTCACAACAGAAGCTGTACAGGTGTCAAAAAATTCTGACCTTTCGGCATTAATAAAAAAAAGTTTTCATAATTTAAAATCACTAATTAATAAGGATTAAATATGATTTTTCTATTTTGACTTTGAAAAAAATTAGGCGTATTTAATAAGTGCCTTTTTGAATCTCGTTTTATGACAAATACGAATTAAACTTATTAAGCAATTTATGTCAAATAAATTACAATGAATTTAAACATATTGGGAAAATAAATTTTTTAATTCATATTTTCTCCATATAAGGGAATACACTGAGAAAAAATTATTTGATTCAAATAAACGGTTACTTGACTATTATTTGAGTCAATGAAATGGTATGTGTTTAAAATACAGAAATTATTGGTTCAAATACAGTATATTTAATTTAAATAAAAATTATTTGGTTCAAATACAGTATATTTAATTTAAATAAAAATTATTTGGTTCAAATAAATATTTATTTGATAATAGTCAAGTAACAGATTATTTGAAACAAATAAATTTTTTTTTCAGTGTACTTACGGGTCATGTTATTAAAAAGAAATTTTTGGGAATCTATTGCGGACCTCAGGATGTCCTTAACTGAAAAAGGGAAATTTTGATTTTGTGGAAAGAGATTAAGAAAACTACTAAACGGAATAAAGCCGTCAAGATTTTAAACTTTCCAGAAATAATTAAGATAAAAAAATTCAAAAAATGTATAGTGTAAGATTTTATTAATGAAGTACAAAAAGTTAATATCTTTTCTTACTTAACCACTATAAATTCCCAAAATTGCGCTCAAAAACATGGTTCGCAAGTAGACTAAGGGGCCATCCATAAATTACGTTGCGCTTGAAGGGGAGGGGGGGGTCAAGAATTTGCAACATTCAATAGAAAAAATGGCGCTAATGTATGCAAAATGTGCAACATAGGGGTGGGGGGAGTCGAAAATGGTGAAAAATAGTGCAACGTAATTTATGGATGGCCCCTAATATGAATAAAATACTACGCACTTTTATTAAACACCGCTCTTGTAGAAAAAATTCAGGCTGAGCTAGGTAGACAAATTTTTTGTTTCATCAATTTCTAGAATAAGCACAGCAGTAGAACAAGTGTCATATTACAAATTATTTAATATTAACTTAGACACTATTTGTTTTAACTTAAGCAGTAAAACGTATTAAATTATGTTATATTTCTAATTTCTATTATATCAATATTTTAATAAAATGTAAACTTATTGTTTACTAAAAAGAACATTTAATGTATGGAAAGTTAAGTTCGCTCAAATACTTTAAAAATGTGCAATACAATTTATTCTTTTAAAGTCAATTTAATTTAAAGAATTATCTTCTTTAAAACATTTGAGTCATTCCATTATATTTCGACTAATGTCGTTGCCGACTAATTTTAAAAAATTATAATAATACTTTGCAGAAATGATTTTAAAGGATTCAATATCACGAAATGAAAAGAATTTTATTAAAATTTGTATTATTTTTTGTAAAATAAGGATCTAAAGTATATGAGGTGCTGGAAACTGTCACTTTTTCATCTAATAGAAAATATTAAAGAAAAAATATAATTTTCTATGAAAATGTCAAAGAAATATTGGAATTTATTAAGAATGACTAAATTTATTTTTATAAATTGATAAAAGCAATTATTTTATAAGTGAATTTTAAAATCATATTTTATTTATTATTTCTTATCTTTATCTTTCTTATAATTTCTGCAAAGTATTACAATTTTTTGAAATTAGTCGGCAACGACATTAGTCGAAATATAATAGAATGACTCATTTATTATTTTTTGCTGTTTTTTTTATCTTACTTTAATATTGAGACTACTAACTAAAAATCTGCTGAGTCACTATGCTCTGGAGAGAATTTAATTAAAATTTTTAGGCATATTCATGCATATTTTCTTTCTGGACTGTATTAGAAAGAGAATAAGTTAGCAAAGTTTCACTAGACGGTTTTTTTAGCGTTAAAAATAAAATTTTATAGCTATCCTGTTGAAAATTCCTGTACAAGACCTTGGTTATTTTTTTGTACAAGTTCAGTACAAGAAATTGGAATAAGTTCATGTGCATGTTTTTCTACAGGGTGCCGATCGACCGAGAATAGACAGGGAATTTTAAAAATCTAGAAAGCGCATAGTGGATTTTTTTATTTTGGCTTATTCTTAAATCAATTCAATCTAGAGCACCGTGGTGTACAACGTGACCCTAAAATATTTAAATATTTTTTTAATTATAATTGAAACATGTGTTTTAAGTATGTAAGTACTTCAACGTCAATTATATGTAACTTCAAGGTACTTCTTTGTGTTGTACTTTGTAATAAATATCATATTTAAGTACATATTCGAAAAATGTTTTCTATTGATTTATTTGTATGAATAAAAATAACAATAAAATCTGTATTAAATTATTTGTTAAACTTATTATTTGTTATATATATATATATATCTTGTTCCGGTATACTACTAACAAAATCGTTTACGTAGTTCTGACGAGCTTCAACGAAAGCGATACCGAAACTCAGCATATTTTACCATTTTGAATTGTGAAAAACGTAATCACCGACCCCGAAATCCTCGAGAAACAAATTTTAATCCATGTAATTCCCCCCGAGTAACGAGTTTCAGACAATTTTAAAGACATTTGGACTTTTGGCCAGTTTTGAACGTCTTCTGGCCCACTTTGCATATAATAAAAATAAATGTTGACAAAAAAAATGATACTTAGTTACATTTTCACGATTTATAGATTTACAGTTACCGACAAACTTATAGAAAAAAAACTTTTAGTTCATTGGTCTATGAATATATTTAATATTAAATAATAATAAAAAAATTATGTTGGAGACTAAATATTAAAAAAAAATATTCTCCAACCCCTGACCCTCTCTTATTTCTTGCTGTCGTCCCTTGACAGCTTTTATTTATTATTTTTTTTTTATTTCCAAAGTTCAATACCCGTGGTGGAATTTATTTAATTTCTACACTATCTTTGTTTTTCATTTATTGCGTTATTTTTTTTGTATAGTTGCAAAAATTGTATTTTTGTATTTATTGAATTTAATAACTCTTTCATTCGTTTCGCGATTCTCCTTCTATACTTTTCGTGTTCTTCTTTTTCTTTTAAATCAAAAAAATCAATGATCTTTTCTCAAGAGTTTAAAAGAATTTTATAAAAATATCAGGTAGTACTTTGGACTATGATTCTTATATGCTTGCTTTGGAATTAGCGCCGAGTGGTGTGAATGACACTACGAGTTTTGTGATTTGGAAGCGTTTTCAAATAGAGAAACAACAAGTGGATAAGATTTTTGGTGGTCGACGCGGGTAAGTTGTTTATTTTGTTGCCTCGTTTGATGAATAAAATATATCAATAAATAATTGATAAATATTTAATAAATAGATAAAATAAATTACTTTTGCCATCGAGAGAAAATAACAGCAAAATACATTGTTCCCTTTTTTTTAGATTACAAGTCCTAATACCCGACTGGATGGATGCTGCTTCCCGGGAAGATAATTTTTCGAAATCCATTTTTTTGTCAAACTTAAGGTATACGAAATAAATTATAACTTTTTTAAATGTAATTATTTTTTGATAAATTTTAGATATTCATAATCTGGAAATATTAACGAATCTAAATATATATTTTTTAAAGTTGAGTTATTAAAATTATAAATTTTTTAAGCAATAAAACTCGGGTTAAAATTTTAATCCTTCAACAAAGGACCTAGGGGTCTATTGTTCAAGGAGGGATTGCAATATAATTTCTAAACTTAAGGGGTTATACCTGCCTGAAAAATTTTTTTTTTCGATTTTTTTTTTTTTGCTTAAAATAGACTATAACATTCCTAGATTAATAATCAATGACGTCCTTGCTCGAAAACAACTTGGAAATGTTGTTAAAATTATTTTTTCTGGACAAAAATCGCATCAAAGCCGCTGAACACTCGCTTTCCGATGCTGCAAAAAATGCTCGACGGAGCATAACTTCAGTGAGAAAGGAGCTGGAAGAGACAAATACGGCCACTGAGGGACAATTATATGGTGCTGGGATAGCAGAGTGAAGGTAAAAAAATTTTATTAACCAAATGCATGAGATTATTAAAAATTATAGTGTTGTGAAACTTCAAACGCGTTTTTCTCGAAACCATATTTTACAAATCGGCGAGCAGTAGAACTCGAAGAGTTATTGTCCGATTGAGCTAAAAATTTAACTGTAGCTTCTTAGTTAAATTATCTAGTGAAGTACACACGATTTTTAAAATTGATGAAGAGAATTTTTTTTATAAACAATTAAAATCGATTTTTTTGGGTCAAAAATGCGATTTGTTTTTATAATTCTCACAATTCTACAAAAAAAATTCTAAAATTATGATCATGTGTACTTCACTAGATAATCTTATGTAGTTTATGAAAAAAAATTTTTTGTGCTTCTAGATGACGATCCAGGGGACTCGTATATTAGTTGCCAACGATTATTTAAAACTGTATTCACAAAAAAGTCTTTAAAAACATCCTTTTTTTAAGCCTCGAAACAGGTATAACCCCTTAACAGAAATTTTCTACAAACTATTATGTTTTTTTGCTGTTTTACACGTATATCGTGAGAGACGGTTTGTTGATCTTATATACCTTTAAAACTATTGTTAAAGTAATTTAAAAATGTCTTCTTATGGGTTATCAGGTAGTGGTACTGAAGTGGAACTCAAGCCAAGTCCAATTCAGTACCATTCCAGTACCACTCTTTCGGTGGGGTATTAGTAAAAATAATTCCTGTATATACCCGAATTATATAATCAATGAGAAAAAAAAAATTTTTGTTTCAGCGCTGGGCTGTTAGGCTGACTGGCTTTTGGCACGAGTGCTAATTCTTGCCTGCGTAATATTTATGTTATAAATATAATTATTATTATTAACTATTATAATTTATTCTACTGATTATTATACATGTTATATAGTTTAACTACTTCCCCTATACAACTCTTATGTATTTTGTTGTTGTTTTTTTTTAAATTTTATTAAATGGAATTTTATATTTATATTAGTTTATCCATCTATTCGATTATTTATATAATGTTAATTATAAATGATATGTATCTTTAAAGGTATAACCTTTAAAAGACAATATCTGCCTATGTTATAATAAATAAATGAAATCATCACAATTAATGTTAGCCTTTTTTTACGTTGATATAGTTAGTTTTATTATTATTGTTATATTATTATTTTTATTAAATAATTTTAGTTGAAAAATTGTTCAATTACCTATATCATATAAATTAATGTATTCTTACATCAGGGCAGACTATAACTTTCCTTGGTAACCTAGGCTTAGGTGTTTCTGGTTTTGGTAAATATATTGCTGTGGAGTTACTGGTCCTAGCTTCTTCAACTTTTGGTTGGTGTACCTCAATATTTGTTAGTTCTGTTATGGGTATTTCTTTCATTTTACTCTCCTTATTTAAAATGTGGATTGTCGATAGTGGTCTTTTCTTACATTTGATTATAATTCCTATTAAACACGTTAATATGGAAATTAAAACTATCGTGGTCCAAACTCCTATCATGGTCGGTGAATAATAGTCGTAAACTTTTTGTTTTAAAATGTGCTGACTTTGCTCTTCAAATTCTTTTTCCAGATGTTTTAGTTTTTCGTCTGAGTCTGATTTTTTCCAAGAAAAATAATTGTTATAATCTTCTTCTACTATTTCATTTCGTCCCAGATCTTTTAACATTAGTGATACATTTTCTAATTTTAGTCCTAATTTCGGTTTGTAAAGATGCTTGTATGGATTTTCTTTAATTTGTAAACTTGGAAGTTCTATTGTATCTATTTTAAGGATGCATTCTCTAGCTATGTGAACTATTCCTATTCCATATAATATATTTAATTCTGGCTCATTATTAGGACACTTTAAATATACCGTTTCAATTTTGATAAGTGAAAATAACCAACCTCCAGATGTAATCAGTGGTTCCCATAATGGTCGCTGATTGTTGGTGACTCTGATATGTCGCAACTTTTAAAAGTTTCATTATTAGGTTTTCTTCTGAGTTCCGACTCACAACTTTTTACCGATAGAATGTCTTAAACTCCATGCATATAATAACATATGTATTGCCTATTTAATTCACGACAATTTTTAAATAGTTTGTCGTCTCCTGTTATTGCAAGATATTTTGAATATGGTAAAATGTATGCTCTGGTTCCGTTTTTTTCTGATTTTTGTAAGACTGGTAACTCATGCATATTATACAGTGAATATATTCTTTCTTCTACTAGAGGTATATCTAGAGTTACTATTAAATTTTTCGCATTAGTGTGTAGTCTTGTTTGAGCAATTTTATCTATGTATGCTAAGGTTATTTCGTCAATGGGTATTGGAAAATCCAAACCTTCTAAATATTTCTTTGCTTCAGTTGCTATCGTTATTAATTGTTCATCTGTAAGTAGTTTAGGTGATAATCGACTTTCTTTTGCTTTGTACATGATGTCTAGTGTTTCACATAAACTATGTTCGTAAATAGTTATTTGCCTATTCCAGTTATCTAATGTATTCCTAATGTTTTCTAAATAAGTTTCATGGTTCAACATCTTTCTAAATTGTAAAACATCTTTCTCGAAGTCTTTCAATTGTTTTCTCACTTCCTGTGATTGGTTATGTTGTTTTTCCGCTGTATCATACATTTTGTGTAATTTAGCCCTAACTACATGTGTTTGTTCCCCCATTAAATGAGAGATATTTCTCTGAGCTTCATTTAGTTCTGACGTGGACGATTTATAATTTTCTCCTTCTTCGTAGGTTAACACTCCAATTGTTGGTCCTAATAATTTTCCTATTACTCCTATTAGGGGTGCATTTCTTTTGTTAATTCTTCTATTTATATTTTTTCTTTGTGATGATTCCGGGTGTTTCAAACCCTGTATGACTCTTTGTACTTCTTTCCAGCGTAACTTGATTATTTCTAGTTTGTTTTTGAGGTTTTCGGTGGCCGCAAAATGACTACAAGTGTTGCCTAATATTTTCGTACAGGGTTCCTTGGCTCCTGTTACATGTTTTTTTAATATTAGCAATTGTTCTAAAAAATCTTTCATATCTAGAACAATTGCTGTTCTCCAAAATCCTGTTGACCTTCTTACTGTAGATATTCTTTCATAATATATTCCCAGCCCTTTGTTCATTGGTATTATTGTTATACCTGTTTCAACCGCTTGAACTACTATTATGCTCCATGTTATGAATATCAATAACCCTTTTATTTCGAACATAGTTCTGTAACCGAAATTTGTAGTGGTCTGTTTAGTTAACACTCTACTTTTTGAGTGGTTAAATTATATAGCAAAAAAAAATTTTTTTATTCTATAGCTAGTTTTGCTTATCTATCGGCTTCTTCGTTGCCTATTAT